CACACACAGGTTTGCCTCAGAGCAGCAGCTCTGCAGGCTCAGAGGACTCGAGTCCTTTTGGTTCATCTGTGGTTATAAAGAACAACTTTGAACCACATGGATGCAGCAGGAAACAGAAAAACAAGAATCCAGACGCACAAAGCTGCACTCAGGCAGCGCTCGTCCTTGTGTTAGCATCATCATCACATCAGTGTCACAGTATGAAGCACATGTCTGTGATAAACAGTTGATTAATGTGAGTCCCGTGTTCTCACAGGTGGAGCTGGACAGCCTCAAGGTGAGTCCCACGTTTACTCTTCCGTCCATGCTTCAGACCTGCACAGTGTGTCCATGATGAGGACCGTGCTCAGTCTGTGTTCAGTGTTCTTGTTTTTATGATCACGTGGTTTAAACGTGGTGATCATATAATCACGAGCTGTAATAATGACAGTGGATCATGTGGTTGTGCAGTCGCTATAAAAAGGTTTCAGCACATCAGACCAACATTTATCTATTCGGCCTTGAAGACACGCAGCTCTTCTTCCTGCGTGTTTGTCTTCAGAATCGAAGCTCTTGTTGTTGTTGGTCATTTCCTGTTTCCTGTCATGGAGGAAGCACCACAGAATGCCTTCCCTACATTAGTTTTTATCTTTATGGACTTCCTGTTACTAGCTGTTTTGAAAGCTCTACCAGCTCCTTACCTTGGTGGGAGGAGCAGGAGGATGTGCTGGCTGTTTGATGGTTGCATTTGTCTAAGTTGCTGATGAGCCTGATTTCCTTCACTGGCCCCCCGTCTGGTTTCTCTGGTTAAAACCTGCTACGATTGTGTCGTTGCAGATCCAGACTTTCTGTGGGGGAACATCCTGAAGATGTTAGACGCTAACATGCCCGAGGAGGTCTATGTGTGGATGTCCAACTTAAAGCGAGTCTTAACGCCTCTGTTAGAGCGGGCCATGGATCTGTTACGAGCTGTGCAGTGAGCTGCTGGGTCACGCGTGGTTTTCAACCTCTGATGGACTCACAGGGAGCAGTTAGACACGTTGTTTTGCTGGGTGCCACGATTGTGGTCGTTGGGATACTTTTTATATGTTACTCGCATTTTCTGTGTGTAATTTGTTGCTGTGCAAACAGATGTGTGCTTTGTAGTGCTGTGACAGTCAGAGTGGGTCACATACCAGCAGCACTTCATACTGGGAGAGCTTTTAACGTCTGACTGTGAATGTAAATGTTCATCCATGTGGGGATCCTGACAACTGGTTTTTCACTGCCATCACGTTGTGTCAGGACACGCCTGCTTACCTCTTCCAGTCGGCATTCCTAGGATAGCATTCAAAGCCTCAGCTGACACATCCAACACGTAGAGCTGCAGATTTCCCGGGACAGACTTTCTGACGTGTGATCCGATGATGCTTCTTCTGTTCGGCACAGCTCAGCTTCTGCTCTTTGTACGACTGCAGTTTTGGTTTTTCGTACGTTTGCTTC